AGCGCCACTCTTCTCTGTGGCCCTGCCCCCTGCTCATCCTCTTCCCCCTGAGGATCCGCCCCCTGGCCAGGCCAAAAGCTGGAGCTGTGCAGTGTTAAGAGCTACCCAGGGAGCCCAGGCTGCTGTGGGGAGCCCTGGACCCTCCACCTGCCCTGGGCAGGGGGCCCAAGAGCAGTCCCTGGCCCATATCCCCACCCCCTTGGGCATGCTGCCCACGGCAGGTGGGAGAGTCTGGTACTCCGGGGCTCCCCACAACAGCCTGGGCTCCCTGGGCCTCAGGCAGGCGCAGCGTGGTGCTGCAGGGACTCTGGGACAAATGCTGTCCTGGAGTCATTCAGCCTGGGACTGGGACTTGAACCTGCATTTCATGACTGCCCTGCCCAATTAGGGACGGGGTTCACCCTAGTGGGAGCTGGTGCTGTTGGCACTACTGAAAGCGTAAGTGGAGGCAGAAGTGCAGTTGGGTATTGGGGCTCATGGGTGCAGGGAACTCCTGGAGGGGTAGATCGTGCTGGGGCTGCTTATGGGTTAGAGGGTGCTGCAGCTCCTGAGTGGCAATAGGGCTGTCTGGGTAGTGGGGGGTGTATTGGAGCGAGTCTGGTGCAGGGGAAGGAGGCAATGAGCCTGGGACACCTCACACCCTGGGGTGGGTGTGCTATCCCTTAGTACTGTAGTTAAGTAGAAAGCCACAAGTTTTCAAGTCTTTCACAATACTGGACCATTTTTGCAAATCACAATCAAATACAAACCCCTCCGGGTTTCCCATGCCATTGCTGAACAGTAGGGTATTATTTAGAAGCATGCTGTACATTTTAATTACAACTGTTACTTCAGATGAATGTGTTCAAATGTGAAACACTAAATTTAAGGCACCAAAATTAAAGACCGGGAAAAGCCAGTTGGCTCATTCAGTCCATCCCTTAAGGGCTAGAGTTGCTAGGGGATTTAAGTGCTACGGCCTGTATGTTGGATCTAGTTCTCAGCTGACTTGTGAAAGTCAGCATGTAGGTGTTGGGAGACCAATTAATGGAGTGGGATTGTCCATGCTTTCATGAGGTGACGCAAGGCAAAATGTCCAGCTTGTTTGAGCACCTTCCACCCTACAGCTGGGGCTACAAAAAACTGCTCCAAGGCAATCACCTGAGCAGGTTTAATTGACATGGTGATTAAAAATCTGAACTATCACAGCTGAGTGCGCCAGATTCAGGACAAACGACCGAGAAATAGGGCAGACTCGCCACAAACTGGTGGTTATTCATGCTCTTGTTTTTGTTTTCCAGAAAAATTAAGTGATCTTAGATATGTGTCAAAAATATGGTTATAGTTTCATTTTTAAAAATCTAAAAGCATATAATTGGCAGAATTAATTCAAGCTGACTAGTGTGGTGGCCCACTCTCCATGACTCAGGAAATAGGAATAGTTTCAGGGATGAGAAGAGGAAGCATTAATTAGTTTGAGAAGCTGTTTTCACTGTGCTCGTTCTACTATCTCCAAATATAGAGCTTGCTACTGTACCTCCACCATCTACATCCTTCCCCTCAAAAAAGGAAAAATTACCTTTTCTTTTTTAAATAGTCAGTATGTCAGTAACCTTGTAGTCTTGCTATCTTTGTTAATCTGACATGAACAAGTATTCTCCCTGAGAGAGAGTGTATTAATTAACTTGTCCAAGTTCAAGACTGTTTAATTTCTAGGTAGGGTAGAATCATATTAGCAGTTGCACGTGTTAATAGGAGCCATCAGGTGAACAATGCAGTCCTTCTCCAATCTCAGTTTTATAATATATGTGCATACATTGTGTTATGAAAAAAATGGTTGAAAACTGAGTATTGCAAGATAAAATATTGCCCCTCGCCTTTAAAAGAGTAACTCTGTACTGCACAATGTTTTATTGTCAAAATAAGCCAAGTACCATTTTACACAATAAGAGCTGGATTCAAAACACTTCATGCTTTACCAGTTTAAGGTCTGTAAATCTTCATGCACATCTTTCACAGTAGATAGATATCAGCACATAATTTTAGGACCCAGCTATATTGAAATCAGTTCTGAAATTTTAATGACGGATGTGACTATGAACATGGGATCAGTGCCTCTTGCATACAGTGATCATAGTGTCACCACCACACTAGGGAGAAATTAAATAACTGAAATCAGGAATAGGATAAACTGTGTATGGTGTTGGGGTTCTAGCGTGGTGACTTGTATATGACACAACACTGCCAAACTAATCGTTGGCATATAATCAAATAACGTTTCAATTTTAGTTACTTGCTATAGGTTAATATTTAAATCCCCTCTTTAACTGATTCTGCAGGATTTGATTATATTCTAAACTATTGAGCAGGACTGTAGTTATATCAAGGTTCATGCTGCCAAGGATTTTCAGTAACAGTCTTAATCTTAATGTTTTTTCTGTAGCTTAATCTCCAATATTTGAGAACTAGAACTGGTCATTTCAGGACATGAAACGTGCTTAAAGATTAGATGCTTTTATCTTCCTTTTGTGGAAATGTAGGTTAGTGTTTCATGTTGCCAAGTTGAAAGGGGCACTGTCAATTTTAAAATCTACTCCATTTCAAAAGAATTAATGAAGTGTACTTGCAGGTGTTGCTTCTGCCTTGGAGTTCCAATGCCAGTTTTTGTAACTTTACCATCACACTTTCCAATTCTAAATAATATTTTTTTCCCTCCCTGTTGTGTAAAAAAATCCACAAGAGTAAGTTAACCCAGTAAACTAGCTGAACACAAATTGTGGTCAAATACACACGGTCAAACAGTGATCTCAAACTCAAATCACCACAAGGGCCACATGAGGACTAATACATTGGCCCGAGGGCTGCATCATTGAAACCTTTTCATACAACAATACAAAAGTATAGTCAAAAATGAAAAAAAGAGTAATATTGTATGCTATTAAAAGTCAATGTATTAACTTTTTTAAAACTGTAATGCGAAGAGGGGTTTTAATAAAATCTAAACACCTGTAACTATTCCTTATGTGGTTAGTAACAATGATGATGATCTACACTAACGGTCTATCAACATAGCTGTAATGGCAGGAACTCTTTAAAGTAACTATTCATACAAAATACGTTGCCACTTTTAACAAACATTCTTCCCAACTACTCTCAGCAAAGAATCATACATGCTGAACTTCATACCTCAGACTGCTTGTCTAGTCCATTAGGCCCCGCCCCTGCCCCGCCTCTTATTATATTATATTCTTAATATGCTGGACTAGCCATCTCACTTGCACTCCACGGGCTCCCAGTGCATTTTCCTCCTTTTTCTGTTTGCCACTTCCCTTTGACACCGCTGCTGTTCCTGTCTCTCCTCATTCCAGACTCAGTCCCTTCACATACTGTCTGTCTGCTTGCCCATACAAATTGCTCACTCTGCTTGGGGTTTTTCAACTCCCGGTAACTTGTAAGTCCTCTTCAGACCTGATTCTTCGCTTCCCTTAAGAAATTACTTGAACTGTATTTTTTGAAAACTTTGACTGAAGTATGCATGTGTGCAGGCTCATGATCTGTCTCACCAGCTTTCCACCTGTTCCATTTAGTTGTTCTTTTATGTCTCACATGCACCTAATTTAGATTAGTGAGAACCCTGACTCATTTTGCACATGTGTAAAGAGAGAAACATCAATATTTCTGTTCCGTTGGGAAAACTAGGCTCCATGACTGCCTGTCTGTCACTGTGGAGAGTTCCATGCCTAAGATTTTCATAGGCTGCAGGTTTTCAAAGTGACCCACTAATATGGATTCAGCACCGATCAAAAAGGCACCGATCCGGTTCTGATGTAGTACCTCCTGAGAGCATCCGTGTTGAAGAACTGACTGTTGTTGGGAACAACCATAGTCTATTTAAAGAGCCGCCTCACTGGATGTGTAATGTTAGTAAAAAATATGGCTTTGACTTCTGTGCAAACAGAATTCTCTTGCTGGGATTATAGTTTAGTGTTCTTCCTGGTTAGAAGGGATGCAGAAGAGATTTTGGGGGTAATCAAACAGGTGTGTTTTTCCACTGTCCTCCCCATTGGCCAACTGGATCTATAGTTCAGGTAGAGGGAATGAGGCCCTGGTACTCAGTGTTTTGTTTTTTAAGTGGTCCTTGTGCCCTAAAATGATCCAGAATGTGCAATCTTCTGTCACTAATCAGAGAAAAGACCCCCTCCACAGAAGGGGGACTATATGGATTATTTGGTAAAGATTAAAATACTTGGTGGTCTTCTCTTGTCTGCAGCAGTGTTTGGAATTCACTTCAAGGTAGGGCTAGAATACCGGTCTGGGTTAGAGGCTTACATGTGGCAGGGGAATAAAAATGCAATACAAGTGGTTATAATCTGCAAAGGGAGATCTCTTTGCCTATTGGTCTGCTGTGCTACTGGGAGCTGCAGAAAACACTTCACTTGAAAAGATTTCTACAGGCACGTGGTGGTATGTGGAAGGTTTTTTTTGTTTTGCTGAATCAGCGAAGGGTATGCATCCCAGGTAGTTTACTCATGTATCATGTGATTAAAAAGGTAGTTCCTGGCAGCTCTAGCACAGCTCTAAAACAAAAACAATGAACTAGAGAAGTGAAGAGTTCACCTATAAACCTCATTTAACCTTAATGAGGGGCCAAATGGATTTAGTTCTGCAGTACTGCTTTAAAGAGCAACTTTTCTACACTAGCACTCTACTTTAAGTGTTGTGCTGTAGATTGACCGACAGGGATTGAGCTAAAAAATTGCAGTGCTCTCCTTCTTATCTCACTAGTTTAAAGAAATCTGTCTGATCTGACTTGAGCTACTGCTAGTCCTTGAAATCATACGCCACATGATCTATTTTAAGTTATTCATAGGCATCTTTCTCAAGTGCCAGCTCCTCGGTGTGTGGGTTTTTGCTTGGCTTTTATTTTAACTGTGATAGGTGGCAAATGTATGCATAGTCATTCAGCGCAGCATGGAAATACTGCTGGCATTTATTTCTCTTAAATATTTCTTTTACTGCAGACCAACGAGTGGAATAAGAATGACGACCGGCTGCTGCAAGCTGTGGAGAATGGAGATCCAGAGAAAGTGGCTTCGCTGCTGGGCAAAAAGGGAGCCAGTGCCACCAAACAGGATAGCGAGGGCAAAACTGCGTAAGTCTGTCTACTTTTAAAACTTTTTTTCAATGTCTTCAAGGGATGAGGAAGACCGAGACCTTTTCATTTGCAAATTGGCCTTGGTAGCCACAACAACAAAACAAATAAGGATCAGCTTGAAAATAGGCCCTAAAGCATTACATGTTAAACAATTGTTTTCTGTTCCAGAGCTGTATTTACAGTTTGTACTTAAAATGTCTATTCAGAATTTCAGGCCATTTGGTGACATGGGTCTAGATTGCTGGGCTGTTTGGCAGCTCCCTCGGAAAGGGGACTTTTGGCACATTGGAATGTCCAGATTCCACGGTGCAAGCTCCAAACAAGCAGAATGATATTTCATTAAACCTTTGGGGCTACTTTCCCCCATGCAGGTTTGGTTTAGTTACACTGCCAAACTGAAATGGTAGTTGCTTTAATGGTTGGCTTTGAATTGAAAATATTGCAAGAGGGATTTAAGCCTTACAGAACCTAAAGCACTGGGCTTCCCATTGTGGTTGGCATTGAGAACGGTGCCTGTGCAGAAGAGCTCTTCATCCCATTTGCAGTTTCAATAGAAAAGTGAATGTAGTAGCCTCACTGCTTGCTGACTGTACCTTGATTCATCCACCTATTCCCCCCCCCCCCCCCACTTGGGGATATTGCAGACTGTATGTGTTATGCGCTATCCAGTATCAAAATACTAACATCCCCCTATGCTCTGTATGTTACCCCCGAGGACTAATAAATGAAGTTTCAACACTCTGTATCATCTATTTTTAATCATTTTTTAATAAAATTTTAAATGTATTCCCCTCTCCCCCTCTTGTGAAAACTTCCTAATTTGCTAACAGGAGCACAGGGGATTACAATCACAGGGAACCCTGTCCCTCCAACCCTTCCATTTGATATCATATAGAAAACTGATTTAATGAATAAATGAGGAAATAGCTCACTGCTTGGCATCCCATGAGAAAAAAGGCTTTTAAAGATTACAGGGGGGGAGGGGGGGGGGAAGGGAAATCATCCTGTCTTGGGAGAGGCAGCACAAAACCGTTTCTATCAAGTTCTACCGTACTACCCTAGGCTGTATTTATGGAGTCATGCTGTGCTTCCCACTTGGTCTGTTTCAGTTTGCTGCATCTATTCTATTTCTGTTCTGCATATGAGGAAATTAAATGATGGCAGTGACTCATGATGACTTGAGACTTTCTTACCATCGAAGTCTGTGTGTTCCAGTTTCTTCAAGTGGGCATTTTCCGCATTTTAATATGGGTTTTACTTGAACTTCCATGCACATTTTTCTTTTGAAACAAATAATTTGAGATAATTCAAAAGATACAACTGAAGTACTTCAACAGGTATTTTCATTAGATATGTCTAATGTCCTATTTTTTTACCCAATTGTAAATTAAATAAAACTACATTTTTAGAGCCAGTTTCCTTTTTAGAATCAACTCCACTGTATCCAGTATAACCTCTCTTCTACTCAGGGAGTCAAACCGATATTTATTTTGGTTTTGTTCAGGTTCAGTTGCATTCAGTGTGTTCGGGTTCAGTTCCAGTTCAAGCCACCAAAACAACAACAAAAACCAGTTCGGTTACCACTTTGAACTGGTTCAAATCAAATTTCAATCTCAGTGGATGTAATCTCAAAAAAGAGAGCTGAAACTTAACATTGAAACTATTTTGATTTTTGATAGTGTTTTTTTTTTAACTTTGCACGAGTATTTTCCTAGTGTTTCTGTGTTGTCAAATAAACAGTTATTTTTATGAACAATTTGTTTTAGCAAACTAAAATAACATCTTCTAATATTTGCTGTGTTTATACTGGACCTCTGTGGAGCAAGGATACATTTGAGTTTGGGGCAACTGGAGGGAGGAGCTGCCCCAGGGATTGAGGATGGTGAGAGGAGGCCTCTCTAAGAGGGAGAAGGGTTGGGGAGCCATTACCTTTTCCCTTGGGCTTGAAGAGTTATTAACTTCTTGGCCCAGGGATCATTCCACCTCTTCTCTCCCTGGGGGCGGGTGGGAACGGGTGTGCCTCAGATATTGTTCATCTAATTCCTGGGCTTCATGGTAGATAGGCAGCTCCTTGAGGTTTCCCTCTCCCTCCCTACTCTTGTGGGTTGACCACCTTCTAGTCTCATTCTCTCCTCATTATACAGAGACAGGCCTTCCTGGTAGCAATCACATGCCCATTTGTTACTTTATAATGAAAATAAGATCGCTGTAGTTTATTAAAACTAGCTTAAAAATTGCTGAACCTTTTGTTTTAAGCGGTAACCCAATTTTTTTCCGGTTCAGGTTCAGTAGATAGAACAAAGTTATGGTTCAGGTTTAGTTCTGGTTCAAATAAAATACCATCTCGATCTGGTTCTGGTTCAACAGCCTGATTCTACTGAGGGTTTTTGTAGATTTCAAATACAATATGATAGTATGAATTGGGTTCTGACAGTTTTCTTCCCCAGCCCTGGAGGGATACTCTGCAAGCTGTCACGTTTAGTAACCAGGAAGACACTTGCTATCCTACACTAACACTGAAACAGCTATGTGATCTTAAATGAATGGAACAAACCTAGACTGGTGATTTAAAGATCTGTGTTCTCACTAGTTCAGTGTGCTCACTTACCGAGCCCTTGATTTAAAATACTCGTTCAGTCGTGTCAGTGAAAATGAGTGTGTCGGAACAAAGGCAAGTCCATTTATATGGCTCCAGTTATGCCTCGTGCAAGACCCTGCTTTCAATCCTCATTCCCCATTAAATGTAGTGAGGAATTTAGCAGACACACTCAAGTTGTCTCAGTGCTGACCCAAGGGATAGCAGCTCTGAGAAATGAAGAAACTGAGAGGCTGATCTGGAGAAGTGCACCGTATCATTAATAGTGTACCTTGGTGTGGCTTATTGTTCTTGGACTATGGCTCATTAGTTCATGTTTTACGTAATTTTAAAACGGTTTTAAAAAGCCTTTTTAAAAATGTGGGATATATTCAATATAGTCTTTTAGCATGGAAAATATCTCGTAGTGGAATAAGTGAAAACATGAGGGAAAAGGGGGGAGGATTGTTCTTTAATATTGTATTCAGTATGTGCATTTTTTCTGGCTTTCTTTTAAGATTTCTTTAAAGCCTGCTTTTTCACAGCCATCGTATTCAGTGCTTTACATTCTGTAAGGTTTACAGCCCGGTACCTTTTCAACTCTAAGTAGACCCCAGAATCTTGGCTGCCCTTACAGCACTAGTTTGTGCCTCAGCAGCCATTTTTGACTTGCTCTGTCTGCTTAAAATTTAGCAGAGCGAGGAAGAAAATCTGGATTATTAGATAGGGCCCATTTTAGCTCACCCATTAGAAAGTGCATTAAAAGTGGGAGGAGACCTGAAATGGCTGTTGAAACAGCAGCTCTCCATTTTGGGGAAAGGGGCAGTTTAAAATTTTCTTTTCTGATCCTTCATGTCCCTCATATCTACTAACTTTTCACTTCCCCTTTAACTTAATGGAAATGAGGGTTTTATGTTCCTTAATGAGGATAAACTCTGCCTGGGTGTATCAGCAAAAAGGACGACAGAGCCAGCTGGAATGTGTCTTTGGACAATAGGTGATCACAGCTATGCTCCAATTCCACGTTGTGCATTAGTTGCATTCTAGCAGCAGGTCTGAGAGATTCAGACTATTTGGATGCATCATTTATTGATTTATACTGATGTACTAAGTAGTTTACATAATTAGGCTGAAGGTGATGAATCAGAAGAACATAATGGATTAAATTATGTAACAAATTGCATGAGGGGATTAAACACTTCATTATGATGGCATGTGCTTTAGAGTGTAACATTATGAAGTATTCTGTTTTGCATTACAGATTTGGTTGGCCTAGTGCATTATTTTTTCCCCTTAAGATGTTCCTTTCTTCGCCCCAATCTCCTATTCCTGTTAAGAACTTTGTCTTTGTCCTTTTTTCATTAATGGATCCTCGAGAACAGGAAAATAAATCATTCCACTTGATACTGATTAAATCTATATAGGAACATGACATTCAGTTTTGGACACTGTTTTTAAACAAATGAGAGAAGAGCAACTAATTACAAAAACTTCTTTTGAAAATGAGCTTTATTAAGAAATGTAGCCATGCTCCATCCAGAGACCTCACTGTCTACAAGTGTGAAGTGAGGCACTTGTAAAGAGGAAAAGAATCATTTATTCTCATTAGTCACAAGGGACAAAACAAAAATAACTTAATACTAAACCAGACAAAGTGGATATTGACTACTAGGATGTACATGTTGCCAAAGGGGTTGTACAGTCGCCAATTTAGGATGAAATGGAGAAGGGGACTAGATATTCCAGCTCTCGATTAAGTCACCACTTAATTGGGACCTTTTCCTGGTGAAATTTGGGTGAAGAGGGCCATGATGATGCCTCGGTACCACTTATTCCTGCCAAAACTCCCTTTGCAAGTTAGAGGAACTCTCCCAGCAATGTATTTTACAGCTTGAGGCTGATGCTTCAGGGCTTTAAAGACATGCAGGATTTTCATTTCCTTTAAGACAGTCCTTTTGATAAATGTATGTAAATGAGCTTCGTTGGGCAAATCCACCTTTTGGCATAGGCTCCTTTGCTCCTATTTATGCTAGATCAAACGTTTGGCAAACATGTTTGTAATTAAATGCTTACTCTATCTAGCACAGGGGTTCTCAAACTGGGGGTCGGGACCCCTCAGGGTTGTCATGAGGTTATTACCTGGGGGGTCGCAAGCTGTCAGCTTCCAACCCAAACCCCACTTTGTCTCCAGCATTTATAATGGTGCTAAATATATAAAAAAGTGATTTCAATTTATAAGGGGGGGGGGGCGCACTCAGAGGCTTGCTACGTGAATGGGGTCACCAGTACAGAAGTTTGAGAACTACTGATCTAGCACCATCTCCAAAATGATTCATTATAGTCTTAATCTACTAGCTCTTGTTTCTGTGCAACTTCCCAAAGCTAAATATTTCTTTCCGATTTGGATGTTGACCATCTAAAG